CCGTGAACGAACAAGCGTGACATCGAAAAATACTAGCTGCAAAAACAAACTATTTAGAAGAAATGGGTAATGTAATAAACTTCATATCAATCAGACGCACAGTGATATGCAAATCAGTTTTATTACATATTATTAAACTAGAATGAATTGCAGACTAAGTGCAGAAATATGCGCATTATGTAATACGCATTCAATGTCTTGGCATTCTGAAATAAGTCTGTCAGCAGTTTGTGCGAAACTGCATCATGTCGATGATCATCTAACCTTGTTCCGCACATTTTGGGGTCCTCACTGTAAGAGATTTCACGGTTTTACGTAGTAGCATTAGATCACTAGCACATGTAAGTGAACTCCGTTTCCAGGATATCTAATCACCGCTGGTTCAGGCCGCAATTTCCAGCACATTGCACCTTGCCAACAAGATCCACTGCACATAGATCTGGCTAAAAAGCGTTCTTTATGCGGTGGGACTCATTACACCTTCATCTCTATGCCGGCAAGAAAAGAGGCCCATCGCAGATATATTATTTCTCATCCGCTTCATTTCTCAATTGACTGGAATAAGTTTAAACGCAGACTTATTAAAAATCTGCATTTTCAAAAATTGCATTCACGCCGACGCACAATTAAAACAATACTATTCATCTAATTATTTATTTTTGGGGCTGGAAAGCAGTTGCTTGTATCTGTTTCAGAGCAATAAATTTGAACTTCGATATATAATTACAAAATTCAGGTCACACTGACCATTCCTAACAACAAATACAGTAAATAGCGTAACAAAACTTAAAACAGCGTACAAATGCTACCGCGCTGCTTCAAACTTACAATTCGTTCTGCTTGTCCCAGTAACTCAGCAGCCGTGGTTTTGACCAGAGTCGAAACCCAGTTTAAAGTTTACAAAGAAGGACACATAAGCAAAATGTTCAAAACAATTTAGAAACGATTTGCACCACCATACCAGGGTTACAAATGGAGGTACAGAAAACTCACTTCGGACGTTTCGAACAGTATATTACTGTTGTTCACCAGCGAGATATACATGAGTGCTTACGGATACAAAGCGATGTTTGTCACAACTTCGTCACTCAAGAAATTTATCTAGTCTTTCTCTTGATTATAACAGAAAAATTATTTAAACGACATCAAAGTGGCAAACATCGAACAGTACGTGGAACATGAAAGAAATCATACAGACCGTACAACTCTGCTCAATAAACCTGTTCGGTTTCGTGTGGTATTACAAATCGTTTCAAATTTGTTACAGAAACTATGACTACCCATACATGAAGCCATTTAAAATGTGATAATTTAGATTATTCTAAAACTTTAAGATCGCATGTTGTTTTTTAATGCTTAAAAAATGATTTCTGAAGTCTGTGAAACTCGTACGATTTCATGTGGAAGCCATTTTTGCAATCACAGCAACGCTGCCTTACTCTCTTTAACGATAAAGAACGGAATCATAAACATCAGCATTTGACCTTACTTTCTGTTTCACATTCCTTTTCTTTACAATTTGAATCTGAAGAAGCAGCATTCGGCGAAACGTAGGCTTCGCCACCCTGATTGTTGAGAACAGAAGATAAAGAAAAAATGTTAAGCGCCGGGACCATGGTCGGCGATGCCATGGACAGCCCGGCAAGCCCGGCGGAGGACTTGCTGGCCAGTTGCTTGAGTCGCTCTGAGTAGAGGGCGTCGAACACCACCGGGGACGAATTCTTTATCCCACCACCGTCACCGGAAAGCGCAAACCCGCGAGAAAGGCTGCCAAATACAGATTCGTTTGATGCGAGGACTTTCTTCTCGGCGGAGTTCATCAAACGCCTCAACAGTTCCGGAGAGATGAGCTGATTTTCGTCTGACGACGAAGACTGCTGCGGCAGGTCAGACGACGAAAACGAGCACAGACGCGTAAGCCAATCCGAAATACAGGAGCCGAGCCGGCCGGAATCGACGCTCGGGCTCTCCTCGGCCCAAATGCGAATGCCGTGCGTGCTTTGGAAATGCTTAACCAATGGCAGCAGATCATCAAAATGTTCTCTGCAGCAGCTGCACGTGTACGAAGGACATTCTGAAGCGAAATATTTATATTCAGTGGGCATATAATTTAGATATATCTGAAAGACCGACAAAACTAAACAAACAAAGCACAAAAACAACACCAATAATAACAAGCAAAGAGACAGACATACCGAAATCAGACGTGTCCGTCTGCGCGTCCTTCATCGAAGGAGCACTTTGTGAATGTCTGTCT